GCTCGCAGATTACAACAAGGCAATAAAGGCAGCCAAAGAGGACTGCTGGAGGGCTTTCACAAGCAACGTGGAGAGTTAATCCGAGACCTCTAGGCTGGCAAAAATCCTTGGAACAAACAAGACTCAATATCTAGGGAGCCTACAGGCACCAGATGGCAGCCACACGGAAACCATGGGAGAGACTCTGAAACTCCTAATGAACACCCACTTTCCAGGCTTCATACAGGCCCAGGAGAGAGATAAAGAAACAATGCAAAATCAGAGGGATGTCTACGAAACCCATGATTGGGCATTGGCAAATAAAGTAGTGCAGCCCTGGGGGGTCAAGTGGGCCATCAAAACCTTTGAACCCTTCAAGGCACCGGGACCAGACGGGATCTACCCAGCCCTATTACAGGAAGGGATAGAGACTATCACGGGACCCCTAACCAAGATACTCAGAGCTAGTATAGCCCTGAAACATGTCCCTAGTGTGTGGAATGAGACTAGGATAGTATTCATTCCCAAGCCGGGAAAAACCGGTTATATAAAACGAAAAGACTTCCGTCCTATAAGCCTCACATCCTTCATCCTGAAGACCCTTGTGGATACACACATCAAGGTCGGGCCCTTGGCTGACAGACCCCTCTCCCCCTGTCAATATGCATAAAGGGAGGGAAGATCAACAGATACCGCCTCACATAACCTGGTGGGACTGATTGAGGGACAACTGGCGGTCAAGGGTTGACCAGGCGCCAAGAGGTTGCCATAGGCGCCTTCCTGGATATTGAGGGGGCTTTTGATAGCACTTCGAATCCGGCTATAGAAAAAGCCATGGAAGAACGACAGGTGTCCAAGACTATCATTGCTTGGACACAAAACATGCTGAAAAGCAGAAGACTGTCGGCAGGACATGGGAGGGCATGTGTGGAGGGACGTCCGACTAGGGGCTGTCCGCAGGGGGGAGTTCTCTCGCCTCTGCTATGGAACCTGGTTGTAGATGGACTTCTAAATCAACTAAGTGAGGCCGGCTTCCACATCACCGGTTTCGCCGATGATGTGGCAGTTGTTCTGAGAGGCGGATTTCTGAGAGTGCTAAGGGACCTGATGGCAA